AATACAATGGAGTTTGGTACACCTGGGAGAGAAGACGCACGATGGAAACAAATATCCAAGAGAGACTTGACAGGGGCATGGCTACGTCAAATTGGTTTGACACATTCCCAAATTCAATTTGTCTCATTTAACACACTCTATTTCATACCACTGTCCATTACTACTCAACACCAATCCTCAGATAAATGATAGGCGTTATTGGCACTTTAAGTTCGAATCCTCATGGTTGCTGGAGGAGACCTGTGAATAGGAAGTGCGCTGCCTTTGGGAAGCTTCCTCGGGGACAGCGCTAAACAGGTTAGACTATGTCCGAAAGGGTCTAGACTGATGGTTCAAAAAGTTAAGACGAGACAAGGGTATCACGCTGGAAGATTTAAAGAAGCGATTAAGGGATCTTAAGGAATCCCTCCAGACACCTAAAGTGTTAGATGATATGGTGGATGTTAAACTTCAATTGAATATGGAAATTGACAAGACGAAACTTTACTGGGAACAGAGAGCAATGGCTAATTGGCTTCAAAATTGCGATAACAATACCGCGTTTTTCCACAGATTTGCTACACTAAAAAAAGAAGAAAAAATCGCATTCAATTCCTGGAGACAAAATCTGGAACAAGACTGACCGATGAAGCTACAATTGAGAATGAGGCGAAAGCCTATTTTAGGGTACTGTTTACATAAAATGAAGACGCTACTAACCCGAGAATTCTGGATGGAATTACTCTTGCTATGTCACCCGAGATGAATGATGGGCCTCTTAGGGAGTTTACGTATGAAGATGTGATTGTGGCAGTAAAAAGCATGAGTCCTTTAAAGGCCACAAGAGAAGATGGACTAGGGCAGTATTTTATCAGCGGTTTTGGCACATCTTTGGAGCTAAGATCGTAAATGTTTGCGTTCATCTGATCAAAGGACGTTATGACATGATATCAGTAAACTTAACCCATATAGTGTTGATTCCCAAAGTAAAATCTCCCTCGAAGCTCACACAGTATCGACCTATTAATCTTTGCAACGTGATTTTCAATATTATTTCGAAAATACTAGTACTGGAATGCAAAGTTTGTTACATTTATTCATTGATGAGGCTAGATCAGGGTTTCAAAAAACGTTCCGCGACCGTGATTTCGTCTGTGATATAGCGGTTTCGCCGTCGTCCGAGTTACTCGCTACACCCGCAATAGCGCCTGCGACGACCGCAATTTGATAAACCCGACATGACCGAAAACGCGACCGCGATTTGAAACCTTGGCGTAGATCACGTTTGTGGACGAAAAATCACTGATAATATAATTTCGGCTTATGAGCTTCTCCATTCTTTTGTTCAGAAGCGTACTGGCGGAATTGGCATTTTTGCACTCAAATTAGTCATGACCAAGGCATACCACCGGGTGGAATGGGTGTTCATATGGGAAATTATGTCACGAATGAGTTTTGCAAGGAATTGGATTACAATTATTCAAGATTGTGTGAGTTTGGTGTCTTACTCTGTAGTGACCAATGGTGTACCAGGGGAAGTGTTCAATCCATTGCGAGGACTTCGGCAAGGAGACCTTTTTAGTCCATATTTCTCATTTGCAATGAAGGATTATCATTGCTTCTAAGGCAAGCTGAAAACTCAGGTCAGTTAAAAGGTGTTAAAATAAATAGATATGCACCCTCGGTTACACATCTCCTTTTCGCGGATGATTACCTTATATTTGATCAAGCAACTACTTGAGTGGCAAGCGAGATTAAAAACATTCTTCGCATCTATGGCCAAGGCTCTAGATAGGTTATAAACTTTGATAAGTCAGGAATTTTATTCAGCTAGAACGTAACTAAGGAGCATAGATCGGACGTCTGTCATTTCAGAAGTTGGAAGCACGACAAATCTGAAAAAATATTTGGGATTGCCAGCTATCATGGGACGAAATAAGAAAGGGGTGTTTATTCATTTTAAAGAAAAGTTTTTGACTAGAATTAATTCATGGAGTATTAGATATCTATCCCAAGGAGGGAAGGAAGTATTTATCAAATCAGTTCTGCAAGCACTACCAGTTTATGCAATGAACTGCTTCCTTTTACCCAAAAGTTTATGTTCTGATCTTGAAGGAATAATGGGTCATTTTTGGTGGTGAAAGTCAAAAAAGAAGGGAGGAATCCATTTGTGCTTGTGGAATGCCCTTTGCAAGCTTAAAGAGGATGGTGGGTTGGGATTTCGTGACTTGGCAATATTTAAAGTGGCATTACTCGCAAATCAGGGCTGGAGATTACTCTTATTTCCCTCATCCCTTGCCAGCAGGATAATTCGAGCTAAGTACTATCCCTCGGTGGATTTCATGAGTGCAATATTAGGATTCAACCCCTCATATATCTGGAAAAGCATATGGAGTGCCCGGGGGTTACTCGAAAAGGACTTCGATGGAGAGTAGGACCGGGCACCTCAATCTCGATCTGGAACAACTTCTGGTTACCACTCTCTCCCCCACTAAAGATTACTTCTCCAAGGATAGCATCGGTGGAGCGTGTATCTGATCTAATTCATGAAGAAATAAATGGATGGAATGAAGATTTTATTAGAGAGAGTTTCAGTGACGAGGAATCACAAAGTATACTGGAAATCCATCTCCCTACAATGAGAATGGACAATCGTATAGTGTGGAGTGGATAAAAGACGGGTTTGTATACTATCAGTAGTGGATATAGATTACTATTGAACAATTATTCAGCTTCAACTCAACCACATAATATATTTAGCAAGATATGGTCAAGTGAGTGTCAGCGCAATATAAAGCTTCAAAGGTGGAAGTTTTTTTTATAACCTAGTGCCTACAATGTATAATCTGTTTCAAAAATGAGTGACCACTTACCCAAAATGCCCAAAGCTAGTTGTTAGGATTGATGAAGCTCAATTGAACAACCGTATAATTTGTCAAGAGGGGGTGAAAGGAGATAGACAATTTGCACAGGGATTTATAGTGGTTCGACTTCTAAACCAAGTCTACATCCACTACCTTAGCTCCACACTAAGGATTTTCTAATAAATTTACTAATTTGTTCTTTCTTTTTCTAGGCTCAAGAGTAACCTTTACAAAAAAAAAACTCTTAGTTTTTCAATAGCTAAACTAAAACCAATCCCCTTTTACAAAGGATAAAAAATGTAAATAAGAAAACTTCACAAAGGTAGATGTTTACAAGAATTAGGCTCACAAGAAAAAAAATGAAAGATTTTCAATAAGCTCAAACACACTTATGTACAAGAGAAAAGGAAAAATAAAGAGTGAAAAACTTTTCTCTTGATCTCTATTGCTTGGATATGTGTTATTTACCTTCTTCAAATGTCTTCAACTTGTTTTTATATGTTGGAATGAGTTTGTAGCCGTTTCTAGCCGTTGGGGACGAAATTTATGCAAAAATAAAACTGTCAATAAAAGGGAGTATTAATACTCTTTTAATGAGTATCGTACTATATTTGTAATATTTAAATAAACTAGATGTTGATGATTGTTGGGATTGACCAGTATCGATACTATGCTTCATGGTATCGATACCACTGTGTAAAGTAGCATCGTATCCCTTGAGTATCGGTACCTATTTTACATTCTGGAATTTGAGCAATTTGGAAAACAACCGGTATTATCGATATTACCTATAGAGTATCGATACTTCTCTTACCTTTGGTATCGGTACCACATGAACAATATCAACACTGTTCATGTAGTATCGATATTGTAAGAACAATATCGGTACTATGTACCCAGAAAAATTGTTTTGTGCTCAAATTCTAGTTTAATGAACTTTGAATTATTTTTGAAAACTTTGAACAAATTCAATCAAGTCCAAAAACATTTTGTCTTAATTTATTAAATCAAAATATTATAAAACATGGTTCAATAATCTTCCCTTTTTGATATAACAAAACATTTGAAAAATTATTTTGGCAAAACTCCCCCTTAATAAAATATTTCATGAAAAAGATAAATATATAGAAAATATTAAAACTCCCCTTTTTTCATTTAGAATTTGAATTTTCAAACATATAATTTTTCCTTTTTTGTTATATCAAAAATAATTCAAATTTAATGGTTCAAATCAATAATGGAGAGTAAGTAAGAATTTTAGCATAAAATTATTTGAAAAATCAAAGTTCTCCCTCAATAAAAGCATTCCAAGAAAATTTTTGACACAAAAGTTTAACACTTAAAAGAATATTGAATTTCAATGAGATAAGAAAGAAAACACATTAGTAGCGCATGAAATTCAATAAATCCAAGGCAAAAATACTTTATGCAATATCAACAAATAAGACATTATAACTCATAAGCATAAAGCCTTATCAAGTATTATGCATTTAACATAGACATCAATTGTTAGAGAAATATTATAAGCAATGAAGAACACATGCACACACATTTAAAACAAATTAAGTTCAAGAGAAAAATTAAAAAAATTTAAACACAACTTGACCAAAACAAACATTATGATGAACTCGAATTTTATAAAAATCATTTTAAAAATAAATGTTCATCATAACATATTTTAAACATACACGAGATAGAAAATAACAAGTCATTCATGTTCAATACTCATGCATGCATAAAAAATCAACAGACAACCAATTTAAAAATCAAAAAGCTTTAAGGTTAGAGGGTTACACATTCTTCTTTTGTGTGACAAGAGCAATTGAAATCATTTACCTTTATCATCATTGCTCCAACACACCTACAAGAGACATTCATTTGGATTTTGGTACCCAAATTGCTTTGGGTCCTAGAATGTTAATACCAATGTCTCTAGTTACCAAAGAAACCCTAACTTGTCTAATTTTAAAGGAATTTCTTTTCTTTATAAGACAAGTATGTACATTGTGACCATGGAAATGAAAATGCGAGCATTTTACCATTTTTAACATAGATGAATTGTTTTTAGAAATGATTTCTTTTTCTTTTGTTAAGTATTCATGCTTAACTTTCAATTCAAGATTTTCCTTTTCCAAATCTTCAATTTTCGTTTTTGAGAGCTCAAAATCATTTTTCAAAATTTTATTTTGCTTTTCAAAATCCAATTTTGCTTTCAAGAGAAAATCATTTTCAACTTTGAATTTTAAAATCAATTTCTTATATTTGGATTTCATGGTCTCGAATTCCAAATACAATTCATCATAGGCAACTTTTAACTCATTAAAAGAATAAGAATTTAATTCACTAGAGTTAAAAGTTTCATTGAATCTTATTTGATGACCATGAGGCATAGGTTGGCTGCTTCATCTTCATCATTGTAGTCATCTTCATTGTAACCCCCTAGACCCAACCTATACGTTTCGACTAAGTGTAGCGGATTACATTGAAGATTCTCAAAGATATTTTTCCCAAAACATTATTCGATAATTTAAAATCATATTACAAATGACCTTTATATAAAAGTGTATAATAATTAAAGATAAAAACTCAATTCGTAAATATAAAACGTGAAAGAGACCAGGTAAAATAAAACATGAAATAAATTCGAAGCATCGAAATAAAATGTCAGTAGCAAAAGCAATATCATAAAACTATAAATACTTCAAAAATAAGGCACATGTCACCATAATTAAAAGCAGATCTTATATGGAATATTACAACAAAATGATCTGAACAAAATGTACTAATCCTCCAAGTGCCGGATACGGAGTGTCTATCTAAGAGTATCTAAAAGGGGTAAAAGAGTTTGTAAAGTGAGCTAGAGGCTCAGTGTGTCCCAACAGTGCAGAATAAAAACATACAGTTATGATTTATAAAACCAGTACAAATCACAGTCATTAAAACATCAGTGGAGTTTTTAATTTAAAAACTCCGCATCGTCCTCCAACCAAACGCCATCTACAGATCCCTAAAATTGCATAACCTAAGATAGTACCTACGGGCCTGCGAGCCTACCCAAGACGATTCCCGGGGCCACGACGGCTTACCCAAGAAAATCTCAGGGCCGCTGAGCCTACCCAAGGCTCGACTTAGGTCAATAAGGAATTACCAGTTGGTGCTGAACCTATCAGAGGAATTACCAACAGCGACTGAACCTGCCAGAGTCTTCATACCAAACCCAGAGTACCCCGTAGAAAACATTTTTCAGACGGTAACCAATAGTAACAGTGATTCAGAGTTCAATAGATCATCAGTTCAGTAATACAGTATTCAAAAATCATAAATTGGGCAATCATGCTTTACATTTCAGTAAATCCGAAATCAGGTAAATTTTACAGTAGTCAAATCAGATCAAACATTATATTTCAAATTAGAGAAAACAATCATATGCACATGAGATTTCAAACATATATTTAAAATATTTATACTGCATATAAGGAACACACCTCGATAATAGGGTCCGTCCAGAAGATCTATCAAGCACCAACTTCACTAGGATCTTCGCCTGAACGGGAACCTAAGCCATATCAGAACATGGTTATATTCAAAATAATATGGTTTCAGAACTATAGGAGTATTCACAACTTCTCGTGGACGAGCGAATCGATAGGAACCGGGTCGAGCAATGAAACAGTCAGGAGATCCTCGAGTACCTTTAACATATCATAACAATAATTAGTCCTTGACCATTCAGTTCAATTAACTGAATTAAAACACTTAGGCAATTATGCATTTTTTAGGTTTACGGTCAATTCGGAGGCTTTCGGGTTTGAATTTGGCAAAACGAACTTCAGAATCAAACTCAGAACATCGAAAAACATAAAATATGAATTTTTGAAAATTTTGACTTTTTGGTCAAAGTCAAAAGTCAACGGGTTTGACTGATAATTTGGAGACTTTTGGATTCGAATTTAGAAAAACAGGCTTCAGACTCAATGTCGAAAAACATAAAATATGATTTTTTTTCTAGAAAATTTAACTTTTTGGGGTTAAAGTCAACTCTGGTCAAAGTCAACTCTGGTTAAAGTCAACGGGTCGTGTCAAACAGTTTGGGTCAGGTCAAACAGTTTGGGTTGGGTCAAACAGTTTGGGTCGAGTAGGACCGGTTCAGACTGTCTAGACTGATTTCTAGAAGAACTCGAATGAAGACAATAACCACACACGAGGCGGCGCGTGAGAGCACGTGGACTGATGAAATAGGGTCTGGCCAACGGCCGATTACACCCTGAGCTACAACAATCTAAACCAATACCAAATATAACATGTTTTCAAGCTAAAACATTGAAATATTATCCAAATTAAACAATCTGGCTTTACCCACGGCAGACAGACGAAACGTCAACGTCAACGCAACCCACCTATTGGGTTTTGATCGGGAGGCGACAAGGAGTCTGAAATCGGGGCGGTGAAGCAAGAAGGTCATTGAAATGGCCGAAATAAAAAAAATTAAAATGGCGATCGGGGTTTTAAGCGTCGGCTTCCCTTTTCGATTCATCTGAACTCTGATCGATTTCGGAGCGAGGTTGGTCGAGGTCACTTCGCAAAGGCCAGACGCACCTAAAGGAGGTGGCGGTGACGTGCAACACCGGTCGAAGGAAGAGGAGGAGGAAGGGCGACAACTAGCTAAAATGAGGAAAATTGAGTTTAAAACACGGGAGAGAGAGATTTTCCAAACATGGGTAATCACCCAACATTTAAAAATAAAACAACCTTTTATTATTTTTAATAAAAAATAATAACATGGCATGGTGGTTAAGTCATTGTCTGCCACTACATGGGTCAAGGGTTCAAAACCCCATGACCACCCATTATTTTATTCTTAGTGCTAGAAGATATTTTTTGTGACACTATACGGTTTAGGTCCATGTACTTCCAATATATTTCCAGATTGAAAAAAAAAACTATTAAATCTTACCCATTTGACCACTAATTAAATAATTTAATTAAACCAATTTTAAAGTAAAAAAATTTGGGGTGTGACAATTATCCCTCTCTAAAAGAGATTTCTTCCTTGAAATTCATCAGATTCAGATAGGAAAATGAGATTACATCTCTGATAGATCCTTTATGGACAAAGCTAATTTGACGATATCAGAATATCTTAACAGACTTGGAGCGGAAACAGGGTCTCGATACCTTAATGCAAAGTCTTAGGGTCTTATGATACGAAACTCGGTATAGAAAGAGTGTTATTAGAAATGTACAGCATGAAACATAATTAACAATAAATATACCTGCAAAAGTATCAGTCTCAATTCGATCACCAAAACTTCGGGTAGCGTAAACAAGAGCAGGTTGTCGAGCCTCAGAAACATCTGGTCCTCTACTCTACGATCGGGCTCTACTATCGACCTAGAAACAGATCTGAAAGTCCTACCCTGACTATGACTCATATCTGGAGTCTTAACAGAGGCCTGAGAACGCAGAGGAGTCTGAACAAGTGTTTGATCGACAGGAGCTGGATATGGACAATTTCTCAAGAAGTACTTGCTAGATCCACAACGAAAACAGGTACCCATCTTTTTACGACACTCTCCTCCATGTTAATTTCCACAGAACTCACAACTCAATTTCGGAGTGGAATATGCAGAATCCTCTCGACTAGCTACAGTATGTAGAGGAGATGCAGGCCTCAAATCAGACCGAATCATCTAATGAGAAACAATACGAGATCTTTTATTAGGGCGTGCAAAAGGTGCAGACTGACCAAAAGGATTCCTAGATCGTTCTATACCTACTCTATCACTGTCAGGTGCAGAAGCCTCGACTTTCTCCGTATCTTTTTCTCTTTCAACTACAATATCGAATACCTCATCCTGATGAGTAACTACATGACGACGTAACTCGAATCGAAGTCCCTGAGAAAACTTTCTGCACATATCTCTCTCGGTAGGTACCAGACTGAATCCATACTTTAATAATTTCGAAAACTCGATTTCATACTCAGAAACGGTCATATCTCCTTGAGCCAGGTCTTGAAATTGTTGTCGTCTTTGAGCTAAATAGCGATCTCCTAGAAAACGGCTCCTAAAGCACTCTCTAAAGAAATCTCAGGTCAAACGATCGATCGAACACTACTGACCACTGACTCACACCAGGTGTGAGTATTCCCGTCCAACATAGAAATTACTCCCAAATAACGTTGATGCGGATCTAAACATAGTTGGTCCATGTGTCGCTCAGTATCACTGAGCCAATCCTCGGCCTCAGTCGGGTCTCCACCAGTAAGTCCACTAAACGTCCTAACTCCGTTTTCAATAAGGGTATGAGAGATAGGACCTCGGCACAACGCCAGCAGCTCGGACAGCTCCCTGAATCAACTGTACAAATTGTCTACCAAAATTCTCATATAATACAACTCTAGTAGGCTCGAGCTCAGTAACGGCCGCTCCTCTAATCGGAGTAGTCAAGCTAATACCAGAAGCATGAGGCATATCTGTCGAGGTCGGAGAAGTAGGATAATCTATCGGTGACGGGGGATCCACACGTATCTCATCTACCGGGTTGTAAATCTAGCCACTCGGCCGTGACCACGGCTGGTTCAACGACCATATCTAGCACTCATCTTGGTGAATCTTGAGTTTACTACATAAGATAAAACCTAGGGTTAGATTGGCACTTGGAGTCTCGAACACAATTAAAATCGTAAAAATTTTGTGACATGACCTTAGTGACTTGTTTTGTAAAACATTTGGAGACCGTATTTTCAGTTTGGACTCATTCACAGTCCGAAGTTTAAAAACCAAAAGCTCTGCTACTAATTAAATATAACCCCCTAAACCCAACCTATACATTTCGACTAAGTGTAGCATATTACATTAAAGATTCTCAAAGACATTTTTCCCAAAACATTATTCGATAATTTAAAATCATATTACAAATGACCTTTATATAAAAGTTTATAATAATTAACGATAAAAACTCAATTCGTAAATATAAAACGTGAAAGAGACTAGGTAAAATAAAACATGAAATAAATCCGGAGCATCGAAATAAATTGTCAGTAGCAAAAGCAATATCATAAAACTATAAATACTTCAAAAATAAGGCAATGTCACCATAATTAAAAGCAATTCTGAATACGGAATATTACAACAAAATTATCTGAACAAAATGTACTAATCCTCCA